AGCTTTCGTAACCTGGCCAACTGGAAAAAAGAATTTGTTTACTACGCAGATGTGAAAGATCCGGATAATTTTCCATTTGTGGTTTTGGGAAACAAACTGGACGTCCCAGAGAGGCAGGTGTCCGGGGAGGATGCGAAGAAGTGGTGTAGAGAGAATGGAGGACTTCCATATTTTGAGACAAGTGCCAAGGATGCTATTAATGTGTCTTCTGCTTTTGAGGAGGCAGTGAGGAGAATTTTAGCACTAGATGATAAAGCAGAACATCTGATTCACACCAACACAGTGGACATTCAGAAGAAAAGCCACCCCGACCAGCAATGTTGTTAGAACTCAAATACACACATTCATAGAACTTTTTAAAGCGTAATGTTGTTGTCCACCCTGAATTTGACAATGACAAACTGGCAAAAGAAAAGTTTGGACAATTAACACGATAAACTACAATTATTTGTGCTTTTAAATTAAATTTAAATTAATTACTTGGACTGTTTACCTTTATTTGTACGTTTTCCAGAACAAAAGTAATCAAATGGCGTCTGTTCTAAAATATTGTGACATTACTGACAGCAGCAGATTGTTGCTAATTTGCTAATTTCTTGTTCTGATGTGAATTACTTTTGTGCCTTATATTCAAACTCTTAAAAAATCTTAACAGGTTCTCAGTGTGCAACTAGCAACAGCAGAAATTAATCTTTTAAAAGGTCACTGAGCTGCTTATTTTTGGCTCAACAGGCAGAAATCTTTAATTTGTTTTTAATTGAGGCTCATGTTTACAAAGTTTGAAACTGGCCCTGCTTAATGACTTAACAACCCCACAGGACCGTTTAGAATTGGAGTGCACTCAATAAGTCAAGACTCAAGAAAGAGGCAGAGGACACCAGTTTCACGATAATAAAAAATATCGGTTTTACTAGAGAAGGTTACAAAAATCACTATATAGGAGTCATAGAACTATTTCCAACTTAAAAAAAGAAAACCATAATGAAACACCTACAGGGACTACAATGCCATCAAAGTACAATGGAGTTTGTTTAGAAAAGGGCTGGGTGAAGGAGGAGTGAGGGGAGGAGGGGCAAACACCGCCTACCATAATTGTCAGTACAATTGACTACACATCACCTGAAAAACTGCAAGACACAGTCATGTCTCCTTCATGCAAATAACAAGGAAACAACAACACCCCGAACACGCATCGTCCGATCAGAAATGGAATCAACCTGGCGGCAAAAGCACAATTCAAAACAGAATACACATGGCAATATAGTCCTTTTTATACAGAGTAGACACACGTGGACGTTACTGACATGCTTCATTTCAAAGGTTAAAAATTGGTTCTCTTAGTATTCTTGAGCGTAAATTAACCAGTGATATAGAATATAGTTTATGAGTACCTAACAATATCTGGTTATAAAATTAATGTATGAAAATTCCTGACTTTTGTTCGGAGTGTAAACATCAAAAACAGTCTTTGTGGCTCATACAAGAGGCATGACAATACAAAGAAAAGAAAAAATAATCAACAAAAAAGGTGACGCAGAAAGTTCATGAGTCACTCATTTGGCCAGCCATCAAAAAACAGAATATTTTCCATAATAAATCATCATTACTGAATCACTACTAGAAGAACCCAGCTGCCTAGAACGTACATTGAAAGCAAATTCTTGTTTTTTTTTCTCAATATTTTCAAACGTTTACGTCACGAGCACCTCAGTCCATCGGCATGACTTCACTGATCCCTCATACAACAACTCATTGAAGATGTAACAGTTAATATATCGAATGCAGAAATAGTATTTGAGTTCACACACAACTCTCAAAGATACATTTACATAGAATCTGCGGGAAACAATAGAATAGAGCATGGCGTAACATTGATTGTGTCTCTGTTGGGAACTATATTTTGGAGGGTCATTTTGGCTATTTACACTGGGATGTTACTGGCAAAGGGAGCACAAACTGTAGTAGAAAATGGCAGGTAGACTTGTATTATTATAGTTGTGACAGTGGTGTAGCTCTGTGAACAAAAACAAAGAACTGGATTGATACCTGAGGTGTGAGTCTCGATGTTAAAGACCGGTTCTTTCGCTGCCATTGTTTGGTTGGTTAGTAAGTGTAACAACATACAGGCGCTGCTGCTGACATCTTGGAAATATTTGATAGTGGTTGTCATAGCAATGGATATGAGGCTACAACATCGTAACCGAAATGCCACTGTATGAGATAAGTGCTACAGCTCTGATTGGTAATGCACAGTAATCCTAAAGGGGCTAGAATAGATTAGAGGGGTCCGTCTTCCATGTTTTGTCAATAGTGCAACACGTATCAAGCGTTTCAATAAAAAGGTAAAGATGAAGAAAAAAAAAAGGAGCAGAACCTGGCATACGTTTCAGAGTATTAAAAAAACAACAACATTCGTACACATTCGCACAATATATTCATATATTTATATATATATGCATATAAAACACCAAAAAACAGAGGATGTCGGTCACTGCCTGGCCTCCTGTGGCTGGGGCGGACAGTGAACAATGTTTTTCTTACAAGCTGTGAGTCAGAGGCTGTGCTGGCTCAGGGCGCGGGGAGGAGACGCTTCGGAACGCTCCCTCCTCCTGTGATCGAACCGCTCTGTACTTTTGTATGGCGTATGTGTACTACGATACACATGCAATACCACAGTACAATATCTGGTGTTCTGAAGCGCCTACCTTTGCTTGGTCTGGCCCCAGTCTTGACCCTCCATGCTCCTCTCACCTGTCAGAGCAGAGGGGAGCAGAGCGGAGGGTCACGAGGGGGCCCTGCCAAACATGGCCGCTGTGGGGTTGTTTATGGGGGCGTGAGGGGGCGTGAGGGGGGATGAGGTGGGGGACAGTGCCAGGGCCCGCTCCTTTACGAGTAGGAGGAGTTCTGGCCGTCTTTGGAGCGCGCCTCGGCCTCGATGTCCTGGTCGTCCTTGGTCTTGATGTCCTGGTACTCGTGTGTGGACACTGCACTCTTCAGGTATGCCCAGTTAGCCGCCAGGATCATCAGGTAGTGGATCTGAAACACACACGGCATGTTAGGAGAGAAGCGGACATGAAGTGACCACCAGAGGGCACTGTCACTGTATCGCTCTATTCAATGCACAGTATAAAAGGTGCACTGTGTGATTTTTCTGGTGGAAGATCAGTTTGTGAAATGCTCCACTGTAGGGCATTAAACTTCTCTATCTACATGGAGACAAGAAGACACTACTGGGCAAAGTCACAGGTTTGATCTCACTGTGTTTTTCATGGCATTTGTTATAAATAAATAAAAAAAACTGTAATCATAGAAGCAAGAGACATTTAAGTGAAGAGAGGCAGAAATAACATCTCCATGGAGATAAGCAAGTACCGGTGCCTCAAACCAAAATTCCACCATTGAATGTTTGCAAACTTGCAGAGAATTTAGCCAGGAATTGACCCTATAAAGCTTCTTGCACATGTACTGTGACTAAACCATCTCTGTATCGCTCAGATTACAGAATTTACAAGGAATGGCCTAATATTTAAACAAAAAACAGTACACCACAAACAAAATGGTTTGCTCACACTTGTGCATTCTTTTTCAGAAAACCAGATCTGCCTCCTCCACAGAGAGCCCAGTAAACCTGCCCCTGTCTCCTCACTCCCACTGACGAGTGTGAGAGGCAGGGTTACTATGGCGACGGATAAGCCCACCATGGCAACGTGCATATTCTGAGCAGCACATTACGGGTGGAGCGGACTTACCAGAGAGATGACTGTGGCCCCTGCTCCGGCCAACGCCACGATGTACAGGTGGTAGGACAGGTAGAACTGGCAAAGAAGACAGTACAATTAATATCAAATATATATAAAAGAGATTTATACAGAGAAGCTAAATTGAAATGTTATTTTAAATTAGTTGAATTAAAAAATTGGCAACAGGAAGCTTGCTCAATAGTTGCTGATTCTGACACTACTACTTAATTTCCATAATAAAGCATTTGTCTTTGTTCACTATTTCGATACTAAGGAATACACTTGATACTCAATACCGATTTTGATACCACAATGATAATAAAAAACATGGGTGTATACTAGTCTGTGTGGTCTTATACTTCTGATACAGCTCAAGATCACTCTAAAACTATTCACATAAGGTTCATTTCTGTCCTGTGAATGTGAATTTTGGTGAATTTTAGTGAATTTTAGTGAATGTGAATTTGTGAATATTAGTATCGATACCTGTTTAAATGAGTATCTAGTTTCAATACTAGTTTTAATGTTGATTATTATCTGATTTTCACTAATTGACAACCCTAGATTTAATTATAAAGAGCTAATATATTTAAGATCATAATATAGTTTAATTTTAGATTTTTAGAGTACATTTTGAAGCATCAATCTGGAAGCACAATTCTAAAAATAAAACAAATAACTCAATGACACAATCATCAAATTATATCTTCAAACTACAATTTAGCTACAATGATATTTAAAGCTTTATTTTTTTTTGGCATAATCCTTTTAAATAATGCCTCAAACCCATTATAGTACACAGTATAATACCCTTACCTCACTAGTGTTACAGATCTCTCCCAGAGTGGCTCCACAGGCCTTTCCGGGTGTGGCGTTCATTGGGATAAAACCTGCAGGATCACAACAAGAAAACAGCAGTGAGAAAAGCTTTCAAGGCCCCTGAGAGCAGCACTGGCACATTGTGTGTAGAGATTAAAGGATACACAACAAGAGTAAGAGTTTTTTGATTGTAGAAAATTGAGCATGTACGTGTCCATAAGGCTACGGCCAGTTCTCAAAAATCAGTACATCGGGCGAGGTATTCTTCAACTGCAGGTATTTTTGGAACTCTGCTCTCCATTTTAGTCTATTTTTGGTTAGAAAGTTACGTGGTGGCGCTTTAAACTTGGCACGGAAAACTGTTACTTTTAATGCCAAGTTCTTAAACCTTGACACCTGCAAACCCCCCAAAAAGGAAAAAAAAGCTCTAATAACTATTATTTTATGGCCAAGTATTGCATTTGCTAATAAAAGCAAATGCAATACTTGGCCATGTAGTTCCATGTACTACAGAAATGACCCCGCCCTACCTTACACATTCACCACTGTCATACACTAATTAAAATGTCTCCCTTTAGCCTGGTGTGTCCCTTAACTGCTAATCATCATTTTCACTGTAATTGGGGTTAAAAATATTTGATGTCATGTCATGGAATGGAGAGGAGCTGCCAGTGAAGCATATGTGATCGCGGGCCAGCTGTCCCTCAAATGTGGGTCACTTACTGTACGTTAGATCTGCCACCACAGGGTTTACAGCCGTCCAATCAGAAGCCTTTAATCTATACGTATGGGTGACCTCTCCAGTATGGAATATGACATTTAAATCACACTCTTTATAATCTGTAGCATAGGTTTATTTATATTGGTGTAAGAAATGACGGAATTTCTCTGGAGATCTTGCAGCTTTATTAACGGGCCTCTATCCAATTTATGTACCTTGTATTTGAGCTAAATTGTCTTGACCCCAGGACAGATATATTATAAGCAGCTTTTGAGGTTAATATATAAAATATTATAAAGCGGTTTACTGTCAAAGAATCAGGAAGAACGCTCTTGGCATGCTAGATGTCTGAAAGTTGTGAAAAGTGCTTCTCAACTCATCGCGGTGAATAACTGGGATGCTCAGAATATTGATACGATATTAATATTTCAAACTTGATTTCAATACTAAAGAGTAGACTCAATACCGATTCTGATACCACAAGAAATAAAAAACTTTCTTTACATGCTCAAATGGGTGCCTAGTTCTGATTTAGATTATTGTCTAATTTTCAATACTTTTGACAACCCTAGATGCATGCAAGTTAAGTGAGGAATAAATTTGGACCACTGCAAACAATAAAAAAAAACTAGTTCTGTTTTGGACGTTTTAAAATTTGAATTAGTGTTTTAGTGTTAATTTCAGTGTTTATAATAAGATGGTGATTTGGGTCAATAAGAGGAACATGAAATCAGAAACACCATACTTCACAGTGCATATGCAAAAGCTTTTTCTAATAATCATTTCTCTGACTGGAGGCACAGATTTGATTGGCTCCGCCTCCAAACCAGTGCGAATAAAGCGCAGAAAAGCCGGGGTTTAAAATAGAAATTCTCATTCAAAATTAAATAATCCTCAATAATTCAGCTGAGCGCTCTTCAGATACAGTTATTCATTATGGTGCAGTCGGATAGAGACGCAGGACATTATAACCACAGCTATTCATACAGAGCACCACTTTACATTTATGTTTCACATTATAAGGCTTAGGGGCTTATCCTGTCTCACAACGGGATGCACAAACAATTATTTCACACTTCTAAAAATGGTTTTACTTGTTCTTGAATTCATTATTTTGTACAAAGCTACAGTATTAAGCCAAAAAATAGCAGGTTTTTTGTATATTACACTGAAAACATGTGTCCTTACTCTGAACACACTTGCATCTCCACAAACCTTATTTGGTCTAGAGCAGGCAACTAGTGACAGAAGATTTTTTTTGTTGTTGTCAGTTGTTTTCTATTCTTAACATCTGAAATGCATCTGGGGAGTGAATTCTAAAAATATGTTTCATTTTTAATTCAGAAAACACATAAAATTTTTGACTTTTTTAAACATGGCAACTTTAACATATATTTTCTCCATAACATAACACAGCAGTCAAGTTAATATAATTAAATGTAATAAAGTATGTACTCATTTACAAGTAAAATATTCAAGCCCCACCTTTAACTGCACTGACCCTCCAGGAGAATTATGTATCTTATCTTTACCGTATTGTCTGACGTCCACACAGATGTCGTCGGGGTTGGTGATGTTGGCGTCAGGGTTCTTCATGGCGGCGCAGGTGGTCCACATGTTGAAAAACAGATAGACTGGGATCGCTGTGAAGCCCACGATGGCCAGGAACACCAGGAACAGGATGTAAGTCAGGAACATGAACTGGACAGAGTGCAAAGAGTGCATTTTCAGTTCGATTATTTAATACTCCTCTTCTCCGTTTTTGAACTAATCTCACTGGAGGTGTAATTAGGGTAATCAGGCCAAAAAGGACAGACTGTGCTAGAGATGGTCTTGAGGGTGTAACACTAAAGAAATGCATTTAAAGTCAGTGCTTGGTAGTACTCAGTATTTTTCAGATCATCCTCATACTTTAGTAATATATTTGACAATGTAATAGTGCTTTTACTTGAGTAAGTTATTGGTTACTCTTCCTACAAGTGACAAAAACTTATGTTGACAATATTACAGGATTTGAACATTTGTTTCTTGCAGGCTTCTGATGATGATGATTTTTTCTTACTTGAGCAACTTCTTGGACCCAAGTCATATTATTTTTTATTAAACAAAATTTGACTGAAATATCTGGCTACTCTACCCATTCCTGAAATGTATTTTACTGCAAGTACAAGTAGTGTTTTTAGTTGCCTTTACAGCATTTTAATACACTAAAAGGTCACAGCAAGAACTAAACCAACAATAATTTTGTAATAACCAGGATTCAACCAGGACTAGCAACTCCAACCCCCATTTGACAACCACCACTTATGATTAACATTGTGCCCTGTCTGTACACATGTAAATGACAGAGGAGAGGAGTGACAGCTCTAGTGAATGTATTGAAGTGTCTGTGTGGGCGTGTGACAGTTAGCATTAGAGGCACTAGCAGTATTAGCAGTGTTAGACGTACAAAGGCGGTGATGCAGCGTCCGCACACAGTGGTCTTGAAGTCGCTCTGCAGTTCCTTCTTGATGGCGGCGGTGGTGTAGAAGCCCTCGGCCAGCAGGATGATGGCATAGACGAAGAAGAAGGACGCGATGCCGTAGATGATGTACTGAAAGATCTGGATTCTGAGCGCAAGTAAATGCTTTGTTTTAGTTTTAAATTAAACAGTATCCATGCAATTTTACACCAAAGACTGACTGACATCAATAAATCAGAGTCTGTCTTCTTTTTCCAAATTTCATAAACCCTTATCTGCCCATTCCTGCCACAGCAGCAGAATCCTCAGCCATCTCCATCTCTCCTGCTCACCCATAATCAATTTTTAGACTAACGAACGATCCAATTAAAGTTCAATTATTACACCACTGACATCTCTGCCTGTTGAGGTGCAAGCTCCTTAGTTTATGCTTTCAATAAATAAATCAATTTAATATCAAGTCCCGTTTGAAATGTAAAATAGACTTTTTAATAAATCATTGCTGCTGTCAGGTGAAAATATACATATAAAAACAATGAGCATTTTCATTCCTTACATTTTACCAAGCCATAAAGTTCTTTTGTTTACACATATGCAAAAATGAACCACAGCTCAACTTTCTCAGTACTGCCATACATACACTTGGGTTGTGTTGAGACACTTACACAAGGGCGAGGGTCTCATGGTCACTGGACACTCTGGAGAAGTGGGTCTCCAGCATGGTGAGGGTCCCGGTCAGAGCCACGTGTCCACAGCCACAGAACAGAGCCACCCCCGAGAAGCACAGGATGGTGGCCACCAGTGAGGCGTAGGGCACTCCACCCAGACACTTGATACAGCACTCGAAGCATCCTGCAGGGGGAGATAGAGAGAGGTCAGTTACTCCTGGTCCATAGATCATACATAGGTCATGATAAAACATATGACTATAATTTTTCTTATACTAGTCAGAAATAATTCCAACAAGAAGTGTGCAAAAAAAAAAGTATAATAAAATAGCTATAATCAAAATTGTGATGTTCTTATTATCTTTGGGTTTGTTGCAATAGCAAGTAAGAATTCATGTCCTATATTGGCACACATGGCACAGAGAAATGTTATATGAAGGACACTTGTTAGCCATTTGCAAAGAGGCACAGCATTCCCATGTTTGAATTTTAAAGTCGCACTATGTAACTTTTCATGTTGGGTGTACCTGCCACCCAGCCTGATTCATCAGCCTGTTTCACTTTGTAGAAACCCTCTGACCTCGCAGCATTAGAATTCGTTCGCTTGGCGGTAGGGAGGTACTTTTTTTATTTAACCAATTACTGCTATTTGGTCGTGACGTATGTATTGCGCTGCTACCTGGTATATTAAGCTTTTCCGACATCCTGCAGGAAGAAGAGCAATAACGTCTTTCCCTTTGATAAAATTCACCAAAAATTCACTCTTTGTTCCGGCTTTAAATACTTGATCTCGGGAAACGTTGCCAACACAGAATATATGGTTCTTCGCTGATTGGCTGGTGCCCGAACTCACACTTCCAGGGTTTTTGCAAACCGTCTAGTGTATTCTGATTCCTGACCTAATCGCTCTAGAAAAATTAAACTGAGCGGAGGTACTAGGTGGCGCCAGCCTGGCTACCTGCCACCTGCTTGTCTCATGGAGATATTTTCACTTTGATAGTAATGCTGGCATCAAACTCTTCCAAAATCCATGAGTTCTTATATGAATAAATGGATTTTGTTTCTAATTCAGCAATGCATTACAGTGGAACATTTCAAGCAAACTCCATGGAGATGAGCAATTGGCTGACTCTAAACCAGAAAAGTTCCATTGCACGTTTAAACTCACCAGACGCCAATAAACCACGCAGTCTTGCTTTATAATAAACCACCTCCGATGCTTCATAAAAGCAGATTGCCTTCATAAAGCCACACATTGCTGAATGCTGCTGACGAAACTCAGTGCAACCCTTTAGCTCCTTTTGATGCCACCAGACCTACACGGGCCCTGATCTTTCAATACACAGACAGTAGCATGTATTTATGTATGTAGATTTTTTGACACATCACGGACATGAGTTGGACAAGCTTCTCCCTGACACAGTGAAGTCAGAGCATTTCTAGCTCAGAGTGTCAAAGCTGTTCCAGAGTCTGCTGAATATTACATGGCACTTTCAAACGCGCCGTCTTCTCTCTTATGACTTTAAAGGGCTGGGTACGCTCCCCGTTAGCCCGCTGTATGAATAAGTTATGGCCAAGATGAAATACAAGGAATATCATTGTTTTTATCACAGCTCAAGTAGGACACTGTGCTGTAGCATGTTTGAAATCACTGTTAAAGAGAGTGGCCAAGCGGTGTTGAAGAATGGGTCAAATGCAGTGGTCATATCTCCATACAGGGATAGCAGATAACTCTTTTATTTCATATGTTGGTAATTTGATGATTATGATTTGATTATTTGCATGGGTATTTCATTTGGGATTCCGTTTGTCCATTTAGATTTTTACCCTCTGTTGCTTGACCAATAAAATAAAAAATATATACTTTTCTATACAAAAAAAATATTAAAAATGAACCAAAGCCACACATCTTGCCCCGAATGCAATGAAGACGAGAACATTGTAATGGGTACAATATTATATAACGCATTGTTAAAAATAGCTCCTCGAAGCAAAGCAGGAAGTTAGATGGCAAAAAAAAAGAAAAAAAAGAAAAAAAAAAAGACAAACAAACTGTCTTGTGTGCCACTTTGGTGTTTCCATGACAACCCCGCTCCAATTGGCAACTCCCCAGCACGGTCCCTTTACTTTTTGAAGGAGAGCGTTTGATCTATGTACTTTGACATGCAGTTTTTCTGAAGTGATACGCTCGCATTAGTAAATAACACTCTCGCAGAGGTCGGTCGTGGTGTGGGGTGAGGTGGAGTGCGTGTTGACAGGTGCATGCTACTGTAGCTTAGCGCCAATGACAGTTGACATTAGCATCAGTGGAGGCAATACTCTTTCACGCAATCGAATGCCCCACTTTTTATTTAAAGATGCACTGCGTAACTTTTCTAGTGGAGGCTCCATGTTATTCGCAAAAACATCTTCCACTTTTGGGAATTAAACATAAACATATCAAGAACTTATTTCATTACAGTTTTGTATAGCTCAAAAATACCTTGAAAAACAGGAATCACCTCACCACAGATCTGACCTGTACCTTGGCCTGAGGTTTCTGTCAGCTTGTATTCATCAAGATAATGCCATACTTTAGAACAAAGCATAAAATGTGTCCATCAGAAAGATTACACAGTGCGCCTTTAATCAAAATACTAAAATGCCAAAAAGGAAAATAGGACACTTCCAATGTAGTCTTTTGGGAGCAGGTCCAGTTACATTCTATGGACAGCAGCTATTGACATCTCTAAAAGCCCGGATTGATTTCACTGTCCTGGGGGAAACATCGATAACACCACCGCCTGGAGGAGTGCTATGGTTTAGCACCAATTAAATGGGCTCCAGTGCTTTCAAAAGTCAGTAAATATAAACAAACTCCTTCGTGGTTGACGTACTGAGAAGTGTAAAAATCAAACATGCTTGTTTTAAGGAGGAGTTTTGTTGTGTAACGGAGTGGGGGGAGAGTTACATAATAGATCCAAATCCTATTAATGTTAATAAAGGGGCAGGCTGATGGATAGAGCCAGGGGCCATACATTAGGGGTTAAAAGTCAATACATGGTGAGTGTTGACGGGAAAACATCAAATTCAAATCGTCAGGTTTGGTTGGTGGTCTTTTTACAATATATACAACTTTTCACTAGTATAGTATAGAAATTACATAAACATAAATTACATAAACTATTTTAATCAGGATTACAAGTAAACACATTCAAAAGCAAGAAGGTGCACTTCTCTGGTGGAGAGTCTGCCACCTGGCAGAAATGTAATTGCTTTGCCCAGAATGTTCCAGAGTATGAAATTAAACTTAACTACTTATCTATATCTACAGCTATGGAGACAAGCTGGTGACAATACCAGGCCAAGTCAGATCTGTGGAGGCGGGCTCATTCACTCAAGCCTGATTCATCAGCTGGTTTCACTTCATGGAAATCATCTGACCTCGCAACATTAGGATTTGTTTGCTCAACGGTAGGCGGGTACATTTTTATTTAACCAATTGCTATAGTGATTTGTAATGCGCTGGAACACTCAGTGGTGTCCAGGTGATTGCCGGCACAACAGGAAACAAAGCAGAGAGTGAACATGTCTGTCAACAATCATTGTTGTTTCTGCGAGATGAACTTGTGAATTAAAGGTACGATAACAACTTCCGAGGTTCTTGCAAACCATCTAGTGTATTCTGATTCCTGACCTAATCGCTGGAGAGAAATGAAACTGAGTGGAGGCACCAGATGGCGCCAGCCTGGCTGCATTCATTCACACAATAACAATGTTTTTCAAGGTATGTTTGCAATAAAAACTGCACACTTGAAAAACACCTGTAATTCAATGACTGGTGTAATGCCATTCCAGGGAACATTTCAGTCAAAGCAATAACACACATAGACAAGAAAGTAGCAAACCCCCACCAGAAAAGTTACATGATGCACCTTTAACATGTGAGATTAGATTGAAATATCAACTGTAAAAATAGTACAAGTTTATTAATGCTGTTTGCCGCTATTACAATAATAATAAACATGCTAATTGCTGCCATTCATATTGAAATTTTGATTGCATTTACCTTATAGCTATATATGACCTAGTGTGTGGGAACTCAGCTGATCTGCCAGTGCCCACACTGTAACACATTGTCTAAGCGCTATCCCCCAGTTGTAACCGCTCATATATTTCATAAAGAGTTCAATAGAAGACGACAAGCGTGCAGAGATAGCAGAGGATAAAACCACGGAGCACCGGGTCGGCCTTATAGTGTCACCTAAATTCTACTCTAATGAATGCTCCATTGATTTCCATTAGAGGCGGCTAGAGCTGACCACTGAGTCTGTCTGCTTCACATTAACGTGGTTTAAAAGTGAGTGTGACAAACGGCCCCGGGGTCCGGATGTGAGGGCCCCGTGCACTTTAAACCTGAGAGGCTGTGAAGCTGCGAGGAGCCACACACAAGAGGGGAACTTGAGAAATGAGAGCAAATCAACTACATAAATACAGGTCGGTGTAGAGAAAACAAAACTGGTTTCAGATTTCAGATTGATCAGAAAAGAGCAATAATATGGAAGAATGCCCTTATTGTTGGAAACCTTTTTTTAGAATGATTATTATTGTGCTTTGTGGATCTTGGGAGAGCATTATAGAAAGTTACTAGGCAGTCATGAATTGAAACTGATGACATAAACAGTAGTTTTTCTATCGTATATTTTCTTAAGTATAACTGATACGTACTATTATTACAATATAAATATTATTATACTATTATACTAATTATTTACCTTATTCTCGAAGTTGCAGTGGCCATCGTCGTTTGGGTTGTATTATTTTGTATGGGGATGCCAGTCTTGACAGAAAATAAGTTCTATACGGACTACAAAGCTGTTTCAAAGCCCCCCAGAGAATCAGTGCAGTGCTGACTTGGTGGATATAAATGTTTTACACAAATCAATCTATAATATATCATATTTTAGCACAAAAAAAAAAGTTTCACAAATTGCCAAACAGCACGGTTTAATAACAGTTAGACAAAAGTGGTATTTAAATGTACTATGTACTGGTAGTACGTACTGTACTACGTACTGGTAGCCAGACTGGCGCCATCTAGTGCCATCACTGAATTTTATTTCTCTCCAGCGACTAGGTCAGGAATCAGAATACACTAGACGGTTTGCAAGAACCCCAGAAGTTGTAGACCGTGTACCGGCCAAT